CCGGATTTTACAATATTAAAGCAAGAACCCTCACATTCTTGATCTCCCTATTTTTTGGCCAAAAGCCATTCAAACGACAAAGGCAACTCTTGTTTCCATTTCTTCTCTCTCCTAATTTTCATCACGAAGAGTACAAGAAATCCAACTTTGTTGTTGTTTTTTTCTCATCACTTTCTTGTTTCTTTCTTTAAATTCATCTTCAAATCGAGAAAGCTAAAGATGATCCAAGAGCTATTTGGTGGAGGTGCTGCTGGACTTTTAAATAGAGACAGAGATCTTCCCGTATCTGGAGCCTTCGAACCCTCGCCTTCTCCTTCACCCTCTTCTTCCACCACCAACACTGCCACCACCAACGCTCCCACAGCCGCCAACCCCACCACCTCCGACATCCAGAAGTTAAGATGCCCACGATGTGATTCCGCCAACACAAAGTTTTGTTACTACAACAACTACAACCTCACTCAGCCACGCCATTTCTGCAAGACTTGCAGGCGTTACTGGACCAAAGGCGGAGCACTACGTAACGTCCCAATTGGTGGTGGTTGCCGGAAAAACAAAGGCACTACCATAGCAACCACCATAGGAAAACCAATCTCCTCCAACGGAAAACTGAAAGCTGTAGTTTCATCTGAGCTTGGAAAGTCCGGTTTCATCAACGGTTTCGAACATGAATTTACTCACAACCCAATTCTATGGTCTGGTCCTCCACAAACCTCTCATCTTCTTTCACTACTCAGAGCCACACAAAACCCTAACCCTAATTTTGCATCAAATTCCGTAACCCACATCAAAGATCAAGGCTTTATGGTTGGATCACACATGTCTAACCTAGGATTCGAACCTTTAGGTCAAGCATCATCATTAGGACTATGCAGCTCTTTGTGGAGAAACAATCATGTAAACCAACAAGCTCAACAAAACCACCATGAACAACATCAACAAGGGATGATGAGCAGTGGACATGAAGTTCAAAATACAGAAAACAATCAAGGTCAACGGTATCAACGGTTGAGATCATCATCTCCTGTTAACTACTTCCATCATGATCAAACGACACCTTTGATCTTGGGTAGCAATGTCGCCAACACTTCATCCTCAATATCAACTTCAACCATCTTGGATTCTGCTCCAGTTCTTACGGGTGGTGAGCTGGGGTTTTGGAATCAAAGCCTTCCATGGTCCGATCTAGCTGCTGCTAATGGTGCATACCCTTAAATCAAGAATATTTTTATTTCATTTTTTTTTTTTGTTAATTCATAGTTAAGATCATAGCTTAGGGTTTGCAGTTACTTCAGTTTCTGGTGATTAATTTGGGGTGTGGTATATGAATATGGTTTGTTATTTAATACGATGTATGTGTGCTTTAATTAAAGAGTGTTTAATCTGTATCACATACTTTTGCAACTCACTGTTTGTTTAAATGTTCCTCGTCTTTTCAAGCTTAGCAATCCGCGTCCTCTTCACATGCATAGTGTTTCTTTTACAGAAAAAAAAAGGAAAAAAAAAAATACTTTTAATACTCTGATTTGATGACTTTCGATGTGAAAACCTCAGAATGTTTTTTCAAGATTCATATAATGTATGGCTGGCTAAAAATGAGTTTAACATAATTTATATATTATACTGAGTATTGGTTAAAAATCAATATCGTCTGGAACCAAATTGTGTCTTACTGTCTTTCATGCATTTTTAGTTTAAATTGCTTTAATTTTTTTAGTAAGGCGGGTATATTAAAATAGTATTGGAATCAAAAGAGTGGGCAAAAACACATAGATAAGTGAGCATATCTTCTTGGTTAACTCAACATATTTAGGGCTGATTTGCCTTTTCTGGCTAGTGGAAGAATGATGGAGCAAAACAGAAGATTCTTGAGTTCACTGTTCAAGATATTAAATTAGTTTAAAATTTTGATCCACCAGCTTAAGAATGACAATTAGGTTATTAACATAGGATTTTATCTAATAAAATTATTCTAAATATCTAATAAAATTATTATAAATAAGTTTTTTGGTAAATTGAACATAAACTGAAAAAGTCGTAAGGAGATATCTTTGACGAAAACTAACTGGTAGATAGTAAGTGTAGCTTTTATTTGTATATATATGTTTGCAAAAATAGTTAGAAATTTTTGAATACATGTAAAAGTCCATAAAATGACTATATAATACATGTCATTGATTTTTTAAAAATGTAACAAAGTTCATTTTAAAATTATAAAAGAGTTTTTTGTTAAACACTATTTAAATGAATAAACTTTTGAATTTTAAACTTTTTATTTTTACCAAAAGATAAAGCTTTTACTGCCAAACAAATAGTTTTTTTCTTATAAAAGATCCCAAAAAATTATGTGTAAAACATACTCTCAACTTATTTGTATTTTAGGGTATGCCTTTAATTATTAAATCAATATCTAGAGAAATATAGTTATTTTTTTCTTAAAACCTTTTAAAGGAGATTATCAATTGAAGAATGTTTTTGATGTGACAAAAGTAATACGTGTCATATTATATGTTGATCATGCTCTAAATTACAATTGATTAAATTAAAGATCCGTTCGCCAAAAAAAAAAAAAAAACAGTTACAATAAAGTTTTATGTTTAAACGACCAAATTTTATTATAGAGACAAAGCCAACGAGATGCTAGGATTACAACACCAACTAATCTTAGCCACCAATGACTTCCAGCCTAGCTGGGAAGAGGTATCGGGTTTAATACTCACGTAGGGTCAGAGGTCGGGAGTTCAATCCCTACAAAATCCAATTTGGGTGTCTCTTAAACTTGTGTCACATGTGGGGAAATTTTCCCTGGAAACCCCTATGGGGGCTGAGTTTGCCCTGTAAAAATGATCTCAAACCCGGGGTGTTCGTTGAAATATGCGATGAGTAGGCTTCCGTTTAATCATTTGCCGTTTCCAAAAAAAAAAAACTAATCTTAGCCTCCTAATTTCTTGAGATTGGAGATCTAATGATAATTACTTTTTTTTTTTGGATCTGGCAAAATTTATTCAATCTAATGACAATTACTAATTACATGCAATTTACTCCAAGTTTTATGATGTTCAAACATCTTTAAAATAAAGCAAGTTTACTTGTCCAAGCGGTTGGCACTTGGCACAAATATTAGGAATAACCTAAAATTCATAACTATAGAATTCATTCTTCCGTATTCTAATGAATTACTTGGTATACATATGTCGTCCATGACTAGTTGGCACAACTTTCGCCTTTTTACATACTCATTTTTAATGTTTCTTCAAAGGTATTCGTTACAAAGAAATAAAGATTGATCAAGTGGTTGATTGGATATATATCGACATTTAAATATAACATATTATCTTTATAAATGAATTGTTTTATAGTTACTTAGTATATACGTGGCAACGAGCTTTTTATGAGATTTTATTTTGTATCTTTAAAATAAAAATCAAATTAAAGAAAAAAGTTAATTCAAAGTATGAGTTTAAAGATTTTATTTTAAACAAAAACTCATAAATCAATGGTATAGTTGTCCAAAATAATTGAAATGTGAAAACTAATAGCTAAAAGTTTGATAGATGGTAGTTGCAAACTAAAAGCTTTGAAAGTTGTAATTTTATTTGTGTAATAATGTTTATCAAAAGTAGTTGTAATGTTTTGAAATTGAATCGTATAATTATCAATGATAAAAAACAAAGTAATACATATCGATGGAAGACAAACCGGCAACAAGCTGAACTGCTAACCTTCTTTTGAATGACAAAACTAATTCTTTTGAAAACAACATATGTAGAACTAGGAGATATAACATTAGAATACATGATCCGTTAGACTCTGCTGGGGAGCTCCACCGCTTCTGTTGCAAGAAAATCAAAGGAATCAAAGACAAAACAACTAAAATTCCCAAAAGATATATAAAATATTACTTGGGTTAAAAGTTTTTAGTTTAAAATAAAAACTAAATTTCATTGTTGTCAAACAAAGATTTTTCTATTAGTTCAAATTTTCTATTTAAAAACTCCAAAAACTTTCAAAAGTATGTTTATTGAATATTAGGAACACATAAAAACGTCAATTTTCATTGTTATTATTGATCGTTCCATTTAGATAAAAGATTAAAATCTAAATTATTTTTATTATTATATAATACATATTTTTATTAAATGTTATGAGATAGACTACACTTAGCATAATTATAACAACTCTTCTAAATCGTAGCAACCCGTCGATAAATGTTATTCACCAATGAGAATGATTGGGTTGCTCCATATTATAAAAATATATATAAAAAGCATTAAAGTGAAGGGTATATTTAGATAAAGAACGTAACTTTCTAGGGAAACGTGAATGTTGCATTTCATGTGAAAAACAATAAAAAGGTCATTTAAAAAATAATATATAAACAATTGTTACATAAAATTTTGTAATTAAATTGTTATATTTATTATAAACAATATATTCAAATTATGGTGATTACAACATTTATATATAAGAGATAATCTCTCGTTATCTAATACGTATCAGGTATTGTTTTCTCTTTAAAGTCGATGGTTTAAATACCACCGTTTGACATAAATAAAATTAAATATCAGCTTAGGAATATATTAGATTTACAACTTTAAGAAAAAAAAAATTAGTAGGGTCACACCTAGCAACTTTGTTAATGTTCACACACATAATTCATGGAGAAGTTATTAATAGTGCATAATGTTTATAACGAGTTTCTAAAGTTTTCAAAAACTCGAAAATGAGCCACTCATTTACATTCAAGGTTGTAGAACTCGCTACTCGGCACCTGCTCGGCCGACTGAGGAGTAGCGAGTATTCGGGAGTACTCGGCGAGTACTCGGATTCGGTAATTCATGTAGAAATATTTTTAGGAAAATTATATATGTCAAAATCATAAGTTAAAATCATAATTTGATTGAAATATATAACAAAATTAGATACATGTGAATACATAAAAACTAAAATACACACAAATGTCTCACTTCATAAATAATTACTGAAAATTTAAGATATATATGTAGTAATAATCGCATGTGTGTGTTAAATAATAAATCATTAAGTGTATTATACATATTAATCTTGAAATTCTTGATTTTTTTTCTCTTTTTATAACAATTTTGACCCTTTGACCGAGTTTGACCGATTTTGACCGAGTTGACCGAGTTTGACCGAGTAGGCCCGAGTAAGACCAAGTAATACCGAGTAGGCCCGAGTTAGAGAGATGTTGACCGATTTTTGACCGATTTTTGACCGAGTTTGACTTAATCCGAGTTTTTTTGCCGAGTTCACATTACTCGCCTCGGTGGAGGGCCGATTCCGAGTAATCGGCCGAGTAGGCCGAGTTTTGCAACACTGTTTACATTAATAAAAAAAGTTATGTAGTTAGTACAAAAACAAATAGATTTAAGCATACCATTTTTTTTATTTAAATGATACATATAAAACTAATAATCTTTGTCAAACTTATATATAGTTTCAAAATTGCATTATATTATTGAAGACCTAAGATAATCTCTGAATGTAAATATAGTTGGAAAATTGTAAATTAGATTATAAATTGATAGAAATTTGCATTAGTATACCATATGTAATTACTGAAAATTTAAGACAATCAAACGAGAAATATGGATATTAGAGTTTTTGTGAATATTCACTAGGACGTTGAAAGTGATGACGAATGAAATGGGAGTTGGACATCATTGTGTTTGGGGAGGTGATTCGTCCACATCAAAATTTTGATTAATCCACTGAAATTTATATCTATTACCAATCATGCCCCTCATTTAATATTGAAAGAGAGAGAACACCTGACGGTCCATTTCTTTTTTCTACACCCATGCCAAAATTAAAACTAACTTTTTTTTCTTCTATGTTATTCTTTACACCATTATCATTTTAATACTTAATTCCTTGTATGCACTGAAAGATCAATACTCATTTAGTCATTTTAATACTTAAAATAAGGCTTGAAACCGATAAATTTATGTCTACACTACTCCAAAAGATATTGTCTTGGGGTTTTATAACTTGAAAGGCTAGGCCTGTTTTCCCTTTTACTATATTAATAAGAACTGGATTTTTCCAATATGTTGATAGAAGCCGAGATTTTAACAGCAGCCAAATGAGACTAAAACTGATTGGTGATCTTAAATTGAAACCTGCATTGATTTACTATTTAATTAGAATGTTTAAGAAGCGAGCTTGAATAAACAGAGAGTAGACTTAAACAC